TTTTCTAATTTAATTATTGCCAGTTCTTTTTTTCTAAAATTAGACTACTCATTACTACCTTCCTCCTTACTTCATAATCTGTTAGTACCTGTCTCCCAGGTTTATTCTAAGGTTATAGGTATATCTATCCTCTATTAGAGGTATATGATAATATACATTTACATATAAGGATTTTGCAATGAATGTACTCACCAGGGTGAGGGATTTTGTAAGGTCACCTTTGAGATTTTTATTTTATTAAAGTTGTCTAAGTAAAAGCCATTGTTCTGTACACGTTGGGGTTATTGAATTAGGATTGTACAATCACAACCATTTTAATATAGATTCAATTACATCTTCTCATCCCTAATGACGTCGGTGTGGATTTACCAGCGACAGAGAAAGAGAGCGAGAGAGAGTTTCCCAAGTGAAATGGTTATTTATATGGGATCAGCGGCGTACATACCGCGGTCGCAGCTGCGACCGGGCCCGGCACTCCAGGGGGCTCGGCTGCCCTGCGGACCCCTGCGACCGGGTACCAGGCCTGCTGCCACATTTTGCAGTCCCGGCCCACGCGGCAAACCGCCAGGGCCCATGCTGTCAGGGCCACCCGATGAATATGGATTGTGAGGGGGCCCAGTCTGCGCTGGGCACTTTAAGAGCGCGACCGGGCCCCCTGTGATTACATCAGAGCTGCGAGGAAGTGAATACCCGGTCACTCCTCCCAGCATACTGAGAGCCCGCGCGGGAGGAAGGAGAAGGAGAAGGAGGAGGGAGTCAGAGTGGGAACTCTGACTCCCATCAGGCTGAGCCACCACTGGACCCGAGGGAAAGTAACAAGGTAGGAAACATTTTGTGTATGTGTGTGTGTTTCTCTGTATGTATGTGTGTGTGTGTCTCTGTATGTATGTGTGTGTCTCTGTATTTGTGTGTGTCTGTGTCTCTGTATGTATGTGTGTCTGTGTCTCTGTGTGTGTGTCTGTGTCTCTGTGTGTGTCTGTGTCTCTGTGTCTGTGTGTGTCTCTGTGTGTGTCTCTGTGTGTGTCTGTGTGTGTCTCTGTGTGTGTGTGTCTCTGTATGTGTGTGTCTATGTATGCAGGGGCGTACACACAATCCATGGGGCCCCGTATGTATGTGCGTGTCTCTTTGTGTGGGTGTGTCTATGTCTCTGTGTCTCTTTGTGTGTGCCTGTGTCTCTGTATGTATGTGTCTGTGTGTATATATGTGTGTGTGTCTGTATGTATGTGTCTGTCGAGGGATGTGTGTGTGTCTGTCTGTGTGTATGTTTGTGTTTGTGTGTGTGTCTGTATGTATGTATGTGTCGGGGGTGGGGGAGCACGGATCGAGGGAGAGAGGGGAGCACGGATCGGGGGAGAGAGGGGAGGGAGGGTGCCCACAGATCAGTTTTGCACCGGGGCCCCATGGATTGTGTGTACGCCACTGTATGGGATTATTTCACCTCTGACATCCGATACTGGTAGGAAGCATTAAAAGGAACACTATAGTGTTAGGAATACAAAACTATATTCCTAACCCTATATTGTCTCTCTGCGGTTTGCAAAGAGGAGGAGAAGGCCGACCCAGCACCGAGATACCTGTTTAAAGGGTTATTTAACCCTTTCTCTGTTGGGAGGCAGGGAATTAGGGCTTCCCCATAGGAAGGCATGGAATTAGTGCTTTCCTACGGGCATTTAATAGATGCTGGACGTCTTCATGCAAAGCTAACTGCAGGGTTTTACATTGCAGGGTTAAGGGAACAAGGACACTGCACCCAATTTAATGAGATAAACTGGTCTCAGTGCCAATAGTGTTGTATTAATAGGTTGCTGATATAGAATTGCCAGCTCTGGCCACATTGTGCAACCCCATTTTGACACAATAAATCAATAAGTACATTTAAAGTTTATTCCAATGTTTTATTTTGAACTTTTATCATTATTTTTTTAATATGCAATTTAAATTCTACATTTAACTCCTATAGACTGTAAGCTTGTTGGCGCAGGGTCCTCTTCAACCTATCGTTCCTGTAAGTTTTTTGTAATTGTCCTATTTATAGTTACATCCCCCCTCTCGTAATATTGTAAAGCGCTACGGAATCTGTGGGCGCTATATAAATGGCAATAATAATAATAATAATAATAACTTGTATTCTTCAAGGTTTAGGCATTGTCCTCCATAACTGGCAACTTCTCTTTTTCTAAAGTAAAAAACATCCTCACAAACCCCCGCCCTCCCCACCCCCCCCAAAAAACATGGTATCTATAATGTTGCAAACTCAGCAAAACCAAGTAAGTTCATGAAGATTTCTTGCACAGCAAGAAATGTGGACTGATCCATTCTTTAGGAAGGCGGGGGGAGTGTTTTAAAAATATAAATGTAATATATATTTAATGTCATATACCTAAAGATAAATTTTGGGCATGTCTACTACTCCCAAATAAACAATCATTACATGCATGTTTGTGTAAAATCTCGAATTCCTTCCTGGAGCCTGGTGGATAATTGCTTTCATTGAAGCCCTGTCCCATATGAATGAGATAGACTTTAGAACATTGTTCAGACTGATAAACAAGTTGAGTATAAATAGAGAAAAGAACAGACGCCTAGTTAGAACAGCCTGCAGGACCAAGGCAGGGCCAAGGGGTACAGTAAGCAAAATGCATGGTTTTATTTGATGTTAGGAAGCGTTTTATTCTCTTGAGCCTAATGCTGAATTCTTTAATTATATATAAAGTAATAAAACTGTTTTTAGTTTATTAACCAGAATCGTATTGAAACAAGTCTGTTTTGAACTAAGAAAACAAAGGGCAGGGAAAATGGGATAGAATTTGTTACAGCGTCAGATCTGTCGTTTTTATTATGCAGAAAATTTACGTTTAACCACGAAATAATGAGAGAGTTGCGCTTTAGGCTACAAAAACACACACGCTCAAAAATAGTTTGTAATAATATCTTATCGCCCTTCTCCAGCTGTTAAGCTGCAAGATGTAAACACAGCTGATATACAGTTTTTCAACAACTTGTTTACAACGAGTGCAGAATTAGGATTGGTAAACGCCTCACTCACATCATTATTTGCAGTTAATTTGTTGTTACACAAACACATTCTGTAAAAGGTACAACATTGATATCAACACTGACAAAAAGTATATTTTTACAGAAACAAGCTAGGTTTTGAGAACTTGAAATATAAAGGGAAATTGGATCGATGGATTTAAAAAGTACTTTTGGTCCCTCCTTGCAAGTCCAATTCTTGCCGAACAGCTGCTTTTCACTATAACAGCCTGTAGTTTGGAGAGTAGGGGATATTTATAGAGCGAGAATTGGGGAACTTTACAAACTGGGTAATTTGATATTGTGTTTGTTTGTACAGCAATTGTTCCCTTTTTAGAATTGTTTAACATAATGTGTTCTATTTTGCAGGCATACATGGTTTTATTAAGTGGACCCATGTTATATTTGCAAAATAAGTGTTATTTAAACAATGTTTATGTAACTATGGGAGTTATTTACATGTTATCCCTACATGCATATATTAGCAGCCTGAAATGTAATTAAAAAAAGTTTGTAAATTAGTTTTAAGTTCAGCATAATTCATTGTTTAGGAAATAAGACTTTTAGTCTTTGCGTTGTACGTCTCCCCTTACACACAATGAGCTATAAAGAATGTACATCTCCTAAAAGTTCATTGCTGGTTGGAAACCAGTTCCCTGCTCCTGAATATGTGAGAATGTGATATTCTAGTTGTGGTTGATCACGTGGCTCAGTCTTGCACAATCAAATGTAATAAAGAAGAGATTGCACACTAGATTGCTCCTAAGAGATACACATAAATGTTTTATTAGACCACACAGGGTGCCTTTCTCAAGGGCAGCCAGGAGATGCCAAAACGTTGGGGGCATTAGGGGCTCGTGTTTCTGCCAGAATAGGCTTTTGTAAATTGTGGTTATTGCCATTGTTTAATTTACTTGCCTTTTATTGTCACTTTAATTTAAGTTTTTTTGCTCCATTTGATGTTTTGCTTTGTGTTTGTTACACCTTGTGTGGGCTAATAAAATGTTTATGTGTATCTCTTAGGAGCAATCTCTTCTTTATTATATTTGATTTTGTTTGGGCATTTGAGGGAGTGCCGTGGAGTATTGGCACCTAGTTATACGTATTTTAGCATATGATCTCTCCATATGGTGTTGTTGTTATAATATTCAGTTTTGCACAATAACATGCACAGAATGCTGGAATAACAAGTTCATTAAAATTAGAGAAAAAGCACACACAAACATCGGGTGCTCACATTAGCAAAAATAAAGTAAGCCCTAGCTAAATCATTTAAAGCCCAAAACACAATTCGGCATCCAGCACCACAAGCAGATTACGGATATACAGAATTATTATTTTTATTTTATTAAATTATCATAGAAGCGCATTTACTATCATGTACCATCTTTAAGTAAACATTCTTATAACAGATACATCAAACATGGGAACACTGACCTCAAGGTAGTCTGCTGCATACATTTTGCTTATTTATTGCCAGTAATATCTGAAATACAGACTTACATTTCATAGACTGTATGCTCATCTGGTCAGGGTCTTCTTCACCACTTGTCTGTGTTATATGCTGCATGTCAATTAATTGGCAGATATTCTCATTCTATGATTGAAAAGTTCTGAGGAATATGTTGGCATTATACAAATGTTGATAACAATAATATTATCCTTATTACTGAATTTAGGTTGCACTGAGAAAGGTTTGGCGCCACAAATAGGACATCTTTGGTAACACGTTTAATGTGTCTTTTTTTTTTTCTTGTAGGTGAAGTCTGACCATGTGGAAGGGCTTTGCTCTTGCCCTGGCTCTCTGTCTCCTTCCATGGGGAGGGGCAGAGAGCCAGGGTCATCAGTCCAAATGTAAGGAACCTCCAGACTGGAAAATTGGAGAGATAAATCCAATGCTGAATTCTGCCGGGACAGTTATGGTCGTTGCCCTTCTCCAGGCTAGCTGATACTTGTGCCTCCTGCAGGCATCCAGGTAGGTAGTCCTCATTTTTTGTAGTACTCTACTCCTACAAAAAATCTTGAAAACACAGCCTCCCATAATCACCCATATACTTCTTTATAGCCAACACATACTCTGCTTAGAAGGCTGTTTGGTCTAAAATACTTTTTGGTTCTACTTTTATAAATAGCTACGATTGTCAGAATTTGTTGGATGCCAGAGATGGCTAACTTCTGGCGATTCCGATGTGGTATGCTTCCCAGCACTATACAAGCTCCAACATTAGGGTTGCCAGAAGTTACCCATCTCTGGTCTTGCACTCAGGATTTCATTTTACAATGTTTTTCTGTTTTAGGTTAGATGATCTGCGGTTGAAACTAGAGAATGAAAGCTATTCGAATATATCCTACAGTGTGGTTAATCACCAAGGAAAACATTCACAGCTGAGATACCAACTTCTAAAGTCGAAGGTCTCAGAGCACATTCCAGTCTATCAGCCAGAGGAAAATCAGCCCGATGTCTGGAGCCTACTGAAAGGAAGCAAAGATGATTTTCTCATTTATGACAGGTTTGTTTTTATTCAACCTATGAACACATTTTAAAATATTATTTATGAAAGAAAAAGGTTTTTTTTAAGTTTGGTTCATTGCATTCTTTACTATAGATCAAGGCGCATTATTCATTAAGTTTCTAATGCTCCTTTCAACTATGTTTCCTTTCAAATATCTGAATTTAGTTTGAAATTGCATTACACTGCAGCCATTGGCTTAAAGGACCACTATAGTGCCAGGAAAAAAAAATAGTTTTCCTGGCACTATAGGGTTATTAGGTCACCCCACCCTCGGGCCCCCCTCCTGCTGGGCTGAAAGGGTTAAAACCCCTTCAGCCACTTACCTTAACCCAGCACCGGTGACCCCTCCTCCTCTTGCCGACATCAGCGCCGAATGCGCATTCAAACCGCCCATAGGAAAGCATTACTCAATGCTTTCCTATGGACGTCCAACATCTTCTCACTGTGATTTTCAGAGAAACTGCTATGTTTTCAGCTGCAGGGTTAAAACTAGAGGGACCTGGCACCCAGACCACTTCATTGAGCTGAAGTGGTCTGGGTGCCTATAGTGGTCCTTTAAACGTGTATCTCTCTTAAACCCATGACTTGGAGAATGACTGCTGAATAACCATTATTAGTATTTATATACTTTACATTAAAAGGGGAATTAAACAAATGAAACAATAATGAAATGTTACAGGAACAATAGGTAGATGAGGACCCTGCTCAAACGAGCTAACAGTCTAGAGGAAGTGGGACAAAGAACACAATAGGAAAATTCTGCTTTGAAAAAGCTCAGTAGCTTTTAAGATTTGTAGTAGTAAATTTCGTTGCCTTTCTTTTGGGTTTACGACACCTTTCCCCAGCATGCACTTTTCTTTCCCTTTCTAAATTGTCTGCTAATTATGTATATTTCCATCTTTTTATGACTGTAAAGAACAGCCAAGGCTACACAGGGATTTAGTTATGTGCCTTTGTGTGCGCTGAGCAAAAAACATCACTATAAAAATTCCCAGATAAGCTGATGTATAGTATTTACATATTGGATGCAAGATGATATCTCACCTCAACTCCCATTTTAGTGAAAAGAAGCCCATACTAGATTCAACAGCAGAATAGCTTGTATAAAGTCAGTGAGAAGAGAAAAAAATGCATCTCTACCCGATCTTCTTCACACTTGTAATGTATAGATTCTATAAAATGACTAGTTATTCTGCAAACTGTACATTAAAAGTGGTTTCCGTTTCTACCTTTTTTTTTTTTTTTTTTTACAGGTGTGGACGCTTGGTGCAGCATCTTACGCTACCATATACATTTTTAAGCTTTCCATATGTTGAGGAGGCAATAAAAGATGCATATTGCGGAAAGACGTGTGGGGACTGCGAGTACCAGGTATATTCTTTTTAAGCTGTAAAATATATGTAGATGTGTCTGGTGGAAAAGGGTGCTATAGGCCGCTCTTTAAATGTTGCAGAACTACCATTCCCTTTCATGCCTTGCCACGTTTCAGGCAAAACTAAAATCCAAATCTTGTTTTTCATGGCTGAGAATTTTTGCCTTGTACAAAGTAAAACTAGTGCAAATTGTTTGTTCTGTTATCACGAGCAGTGCTGTATTTCGGTTGTGTGCTGACCTAGGCATGACAAAACTCGGGCACCCTCCCAATCTAAATATCTCTTCCTGTTTAAAACCAACACGCTCTTTGCCTGACAGACACACGTCCTCACTGATACATACACTGACTTACACACACTGACAGATACACGGTCATTGTCATACACACCATTGTCACAGACATACTCACTCACAGTTATGCACACTCACTGACAGACACAAACTGACAGACACACATGCACAGTCTTAGTGACACACACACTCTCAGTGACAAGCGCACTGACAAACATTCACTGAGACACATACACACTCACTGACAAACACATACACTCTTTGACAGACACACACACTGATTCTAACACACTCACATAAAAAAAAAAAAAGTGAGTGTACCACTAATGGGGGGAGAGAGGAACACTAAGGGACGGGGGGAGCACTAAGAGATCACTAATGGATAGGAAGGAAGAAGACCACTAAGGAACAGGAAGGGGAGGGACAGGGAGAGGAACACTAAGGGACAGGGCGAGGACCACTAAGGGACAAAAATGGGAGAGGAACACTAAGGGACATGGAGAGGAACACTAAGGGACAGGGAAGAGGACCACTAATTGACAAGAAGAGGAGAGAAGAAAGAAGAGAGGATCACTAAGGGACATGGAGGGAAGAGGAACACTAAGGGACATGGAGGGGAGAGTGGCACACAGGGGGGCCTGAGTGGGGAGAAAGACACATAGAAGGACATGAGGGTGGAAAAGTCACACAGATGGGCCTGGGGGTGAGAAAGACGCACACAGAAGGGTCTGGGGTGGAACTACAAAAGGAATGGGGGTGAAAGAGACACAGAGGGTCTGGAGAAGACGAAAAAGAGACAGAGAGGGGCTGAAAAAAGCTAAAAGAAACACAGAGGACCAGGGGGAGATAGATGTGCTAGGGGTGAAAGAGAAACACACATAGGAGCTGGAAAGAGTAAAAGACACAAAGGGGCTTGGAGAGAAGGAGACACAAAAAAGGGGGTTGTAAGAGATACACAAGGGAGGTGTAAGACCCACAATGCGGAAAATAGGGAATAAGATACCCTAAGAAAGAAAAGGCGGGTTAAGAGGCACACAAGTGAAGATGCACTTTTTGAGGGAGGGGGGGTGGAGGAGAGGGGTGCCAAAATTGCCTGTGTACCCAAAAATCCTTTCACCTGCCCTGCCCAGTATAAGCAGCTGACAAGGCATCTGCCAGGGCGGTTTTGCACGCAGAGTGCCGCACAAGGCAAATGCCTCGTCAACCTCACGTTAAATACAGTGCTAATCACAAACAATGCATTTGTTTTTAAACTGATTAGTTTTATTTAAAAAAAAAGAAATCAGGAGGTTAGTTCTGCTTAAATAACAGTTTTGGTAAACAAAATAGCCTGCTCATGACTGGTGTATTGGTTTTCTTTGCTAACATGTTCTGTTCTTGTAGACATCAGAAGATGAAGATGTTTGCAAAACAACAGAAGAACCAGTGGACAAGCCAGATGAAGTAGAAGAACCGAAGCGTCAACAAAATCATATTAAGCACAAGGGACCTGGGCACAGGCATCAGCAGCAGGAGGAAGTCCTTGTGGTGGAGGATGGTAGACACCTTGCTAACCACAGGATGAAGCATAAGCACCATCACCGTGAAGGAGAGGAGGTGGTAGAGGTTGCCTACAGACCACATAGCCATAAACATCATGGTAGGGTTGCTGGTCACAGGGAACTGGATGAAAAGACACCTCAAAGAGAGGTTGTTTTCATTCCACGAAAAGAGGCAGATAATCCTGTGAAGGATAAAAAACCTTGACAAAAGGTTAAAAGCTGAAAAAAACAGTATCGGTGAGACAGAGAAAAGGAGTCAGGGAAAACCACTAATATGTGATGCTGACACTGACGACAAATTTCATTTGAAACAACAGAAAATGAAGTCACCTGACAGTGTAAAGGGGTTCTCCCCGCCTCCTGCAGGTGACATGATCGTCTGTCAGATGTCCTCCCTGAGTCCTGACAGTGACGTCTGGCCCCCGCTGCGTGACACTCAGAAGATGCAGAATTGGCTAATGTCAAGTTGCCCATAGAAAGTGAACATAGCGTAGCTTGAGAATGACCAAAGGAGACAGAAAACTGACAGTGAAGGGAACTTTGTAAATTCCTGGTTTAAACTGTGAAAAATTACCATTCAATACAAATATGGTTTATATTTGACAATCAGTGCACTGAAATAAGACCCATTTGAGCTCTGAAGAATATTTTACAAGTTTGTAAAATATCATCCAGGTTCTGTCTTGTAGCAGAATTCTTTTTGTCAATGTAGACCAAAAATCAGTTACCAGGAAAAATCAGTACTGTTTAGATTGTAATATTTCTGTCTCTGAACATCGGTCTGAATAATAGGGTTTTGGTGGAGAGACTGGCAGGGGTCTGTAGAACATCGGTTTGCTTGTTCATCATGCATTAAAGAGGAAATGCGACTTTTCTATTATGGATTTTTCATACAAGTAATAACAATCGTAAAAACATAATTTCCACGTGTGCTACCAATTTGAATAACACTTCTTCTATTGATGAATTTTACTTATTTTTTTAGTTCTCCTGCTTAATAAAAGTTACTTCAACTTAAGACAAGTAGTCGACATTCAATGCAAGATGCTGAGATGGGAAGCCTTTAGTTCAAACAAAACACTTTTATATGCTGGAAAAATACCTTTATCAGAAATGCGGCATTTCCTCTTTAAATAGTTCACCCTTACAGTCCTGACACCTCCACTCTTTAACATCAGTGCAAGCGCAGCTTAAGTACAAAACCTCTCTTGTTCTTTTTCTTGATATTGTTTGCATTAATGAAGACAGAGGCATAAACTATAACCTAGGGGTTTCTGTCAGATATCTGCAATCATACGATGGGTGAGGGATGAGAGAAGACATTTAATAATTCATGTGTATTTTATTAAATAGACTGAATTAAACTTTTCGTGTTGCTTTTTTTTAAAATTATTACATAACTTTTAACTCCATATAATACTAGAACTAGTTTCTACACAAACTAACACACCAAAGATTACAGCAGCCATTGTATTAACAACTACAGCATAATATTCTTTTCCTTTTCTTTTTTGTAGTTGTCTAGAACTTTTTATGTTAAGCTGATTGCATAATGGGAAATGTCTTTGTATACACTTGTTTCTGAGATGATGTTGTCTTGCCGTTCAAGTAGATGCAGTAATTAATGATGGTTTTAAGGGAAACGAATGCCCTAAAAACCTGAGCAAATATTTTACCGCAACGTCGGAAAGCAAGAGTGTAGTATGTTTCAAGTGCAAGATGAGAACGCGTAGTATACAAAATGCAATAAAATTTTACATGCAGAACTCTGTGTTTCGTCTCGTTCTTGTGATTTTATCATTTAAAATCTCTTCCTCTTTAAGCGAAAATCTTGTATATTGCTGGCTTGCTGCTCCAATTCCTTAATCTTGTTTCGCAGGCTTTCAATCTCAAGGTTTTTTTCTTCCTGCAGGTGTTGGAGTTTCTATGGGAAGCAAACCATGGAAGTGTTACGCAAGTGTTCCGTGTTACAGTAATCATTTGCAAACATTCCTTTCATACAAAACACCCCCATCACAATTATTAACCAACCTTGTAACTACAGAACATGTAATCTTTATAGATATGCACCAACAGTCTCTCTGTTACTTTATTATGGCATACAAATAAATGGCATTTATGTGATTATTTTTTCACACCCATTCAGGATGATTAGTGTGACCTTTAACAGAATCACAGGTTAAACTGTGATTTCACTTAGTCTGCAACTAAGGCTGCATTTATCTGCATTTATCCCTGGTATGCTGGTCTCTGTCTGTAATGTGACTTTAAGAAAAGTGCAAATTATTCAAAGCAATATTTATATTTCCTAATGTGCTAACAATTAATATTTTATATCAGTTGCAGGAGTTTGGATATCTACCTTTTACCAGTCTAAAAATAAATTCTGAATTTTATTCTATGGCTCTGTGGGAGTAGTCTTGGTCAAACACAATTAACATTTCCAACATAACAATATTCCTATTTGAGGTAATAGTGACAAATCTAATCTTGGTTGCTATCACTTCCTTCCTGGTCATGCTATTTGGATCGTGAGCAGAGACTGGTCCAGAAGCTGAAGGGATGTGATGTCAAATGCAGAACTGTCTAAAATACAGTGCTATCACTTTAAGCTGTATTCCTAACTCTAAAAAGTGTTCTTCTGCCCCAACCTCCTCACGGTGAACTCCTTATTCCAGAGCCAAGGTCCCTCGGCACTGGCACCCTCTCCACCTCCTCTGACATCAGCGCTGAGGGGGAACTTAATGCGAATGGGCAACGAACGCCTCATGCATTAGGCCATCCACCTAGAAAAGCAGTGAATCAATGCTTTCATATGGGGGATATGAAGATGCTGGACACCCTCATGTATAGCACCTCCACTTTCCTCTGTAAATCAGTGGTTTAATGTCTGTATTTAATCCTATGTGAAGGTAAAACGCCAACTTTCTTTAACAGTAATTGTATGAGATGCTTGAGGCTCCTTAACCGGCTTTCCATTGTGTGTGTGTACCCTGTTCTTTTTTTTTGCACTTTGGGATGCTTATCCTTGCTGCTTCATAACTGCAGCAGCATCCATTCAGATGGGAAAGAAATCTAACACATGGCAATCCAAGCTCAGTTAACCAAGGCAGACTTTTCATTAAAAGTCTTCTTTCTTAGGATTCACCCTCCATGCTGCAATTTGTACAATCACTCAAACCGAGATGAGATCCCATTCCCATAATTTACCAGAAATTAGGAATTTCAGCTTGGAACTACCCTCACATGGGATGAGTGGTACAAGATTTTTATGTTTGAGTTTTCTAGTAGTACTATGTTTTGGGAATCCACTTTCAAGCTTTTTGGTACAATACTGCATGCAAACTCAGTTACTGCACTCCATGTCTGGTGGTCATATACTTTTACTCAACCTATCTGGCAGCCTATCTAGTATACATAGATATAAAGTCAACTATCCTGTTTGGGCAGTTTTAGATCTATTATTGTTGAAATATGGTCAGTTGGGATGATGCAACTTTTTATTAATCGGCAGTTTGTCTAATTAACTGGACTTAACTCATTCATCTACAAGTTAGATAAATCATTCAAGTTAGATAAAGGACTTAAGAAGGCAATGCTAAATCAAAAGCCACATTACGCAATATGTTTATCATTTCCAGCTCGCTTAAATAAAATCTTCAAATTAAAAAAACAAAAAGAAACCAAAAGACAAGAAAGCTTGTTCCAGTTTCCAGTAAACAGCATGTCCAAGTCAAAAACAACCACCACAATGTTTCACAAGTGACACTGTACCAGAACTCTACAGTTTTTTTTTTTGTTAATATCTGCTATAATAGAGCTATATTGTTCTTGGGCTAACTAATAGTTTGTATGTTGAGGTAGACCCTCTACTGTTATACTTGTGTAGTCAACCTGGATGGATCTTAGAAACACTCCTAAACCTAAATCTCTGATATTCTTCAATGTCAAACCTATTTTTTTTTTCCCAATTTCAAGTATTTTTCTCTCATATTAAGTCACTCCTTCCAGTGGGCTTTATTAACCTGCTAGATTTTTTAGCTCCTAATTTTACAGTGCAAATAAACTTTTTAATAATTTACCACACTGTTAATTTTAACAAACCTCATTAAGCATTGGCTCATTTGAAATTCAATGTATGTTGAAGACAAAGCGTGATTCCAGGAATAATAAATGATTGAAAGATGATTCAAAGCTCCACTAGGCAGATTGCATCAAGCATTTTTATGTTTGGACAAACTGATATAGAAGACTATAAGGGCATTTGAAGGTAAAACTAGTGCTAACATTCTTGCACAGATTGATTGAGAGATATTACCTTTCTGTAGATATGTTGTGCTATTGTATTTGAGTCTTGGTACATTTTTACTGGTTTACTCTGGATTCTTGCCAGTTTTGCACTAAACTGGAAAAAAAGAGAAACAAATATTGTTTAGTAAGTGCCGATGATAATTCATTAAAAATAATAAGATAAAAAAAAAATTCTTACAGTCCGTTGATACATGGGTCCTTCAATCCCTTTTAACAGGAGTTTTACCCATGCCTATTTCCAGTGGTATTGCTATTTATAATAGTATCCTTAAAGGGACACTATAGTCACCTGAACAACTTTAGCTTAATGAAGCAGTTTTGGTGTATAGAACATGCCCCTGCAGCCTCACTGCTCAACCCTCTGCCATTTAGGAGTTAAATCCCTTTGTTTATGAACCCTAGTCACACCTCCCTGCATGTGACTTGCACAGCCTTGCATAAACACTTCCTGTAAAGAGAGCCCTATTTAGTTCTGTTTAATTAAGATTTTCTTATCCCCTGCTATGTTAATAGCTTGCTAGACCCTGCAAGAGCCTCCTGTATGTGATTAACGTTCAATTTAGAGATTGAGATACAATTTTTTAAGGTAAATTACATCTGTTTGAAAGTGAAACCATTTTTTTTTTCATGTAGGCTCTGTCAATCATAGCCAGGGGAGGTGTGGCTAGGGCTGCATAAACAGAAACAAAGTGATTTAACTCCTAAATGACAGTGAAATTGCCTGGGAATGATCTATACACTAAAACTGCTTTATTTAGCTAAAGTAATTTAGGTGACTATAGTGTTCCTTTAAGTATATATTATATATTATAACCCAGACAATCTGCCTTACTGTGCCATGCTAATTGCATGCTACATGCAAATTTCTTAATTTCAATATCAGTTATATATTGACATTTTTAAATAACACTTAAAAAAAAAAAAGTAGTTAAAATATATACCGTATTTTCCGGCGTATAAGACGACTGGGCGTATAAGACGACCCCCAACTTTTCCAGTTAAAATATAGAGTTTGGGATATACTCACCGTATAAGACTACCCCTCTTCCAATGCACACCAAATAAAAATTAGCCATGATGTACAGTGAGCAGACAGAGCTACACAGCAAGACATTAAATAATGATAATCTGAAAATAGCATTTAAAGCCCAGGTATGTGCCAGGCTGTTTGGGCATATAATCTTTATGCCCTATAATTATTTTTATTCTTTTTACTCCGCCCACCCCCAATCCTCCCTACATTCTTCTCACCTCCCATTCCCTGTGCAGAGTGGGTGGCCGAGCTCCTCTTTGTCCTGTCAGTCCGGCCGGGTACCGCGCGGTACAGGAGATTCAGTTACCTGTTCCCGGCCGGACTGAAAGGAAGTGAGCACTCAGTGTGCACTTCCTTTCAGTCCGGCCGGGAACAGGTAACTGAATCTCCTGTACCGCGCGGTACCCGGCCGGACTGACAGGACGAAGAGGAGCTCGGCCACCCACTCTGCACAGGGAAGGGGAGGTGAGAAGAGAGGCAGTGCGGCAGCCGTCTGTGTGTTCTCTATAGAGCGCTCAGGCGGCTGCAGCATTAGAAGGGCCGGCGATGGGGGCGCAGGGCGCCCCTGGCAGCCATATAGACCCTATACCCGGCGTGTAAGACGACCCCCGACTTTGGAGAAGATTTTCCAGGGTTAAAAAGTCATCTTATATGCCAGAAAATACAGTATTTCTTTATTAGTGTTCTTAACATTGGTATAAAGCTTGTTTGATGGTATATATTTGCTCTCGTTTACTTATTTGCTTCCTGGGTTTCTTCAAGGAGCTAAGAATTGTGGCACGCTAGGAACAGCAACATTTATACAAAAAGAGGAGAGTGGCTGTTTTTCTAACTTGTTCTTTTATCCTGCATTTTTTAAATTGATGTCAATTCCTTGCAATTTCTGGTTTAGTGGATAAAGCTCTAAGAGGTCACATATAGATATTTCTGCGGATGCATTACAGTAGATTTCTTGAAAACGGTATTATTTTACTAGCGATTACAGTAGTATTTTGTTTTTCACGATTTATACATTACACTTGCTAGCTATACATTACCTCTATTTGCTGTTTTATCATTTCATTCTGCTTTTCTTTTTCCAAGGTTTTCAGCTGATAGTTTAATTTCTCAATTTCCTCATCTCTTTTGCAAAGTAAAGTTTTAATTTCTTCATCCTTCAGGATTACTGCAAATTCACATAAAAAAAAAAAAAAATTTAAAAAGGAACTAACTGGTGGATATTCTGCCAAGCTTTCTACACCAAGGTAAACGTGACAAAGTGACACAAGAAAAAAATGACCTAGTAGCATGGGCGTCCGCAGGAATTTTTCCAGGGGGGGGGGCATAATTGTAATGACATCCATGCTTGGTACCTTTTTGACAGTGTCATGAAAGGGAAGGGGCATAGCCATTATCACATAAAGCCAGGGTGAATAGCGTTTTCACAACTATGGTGTCAGGAATATATGTTTGTATTCCTGACACTATAGTGTTCCTTTAAGCAAATTAAAGGACCATTCTGGTCACCATAACAACTTCACCTAAATGAAAATGCTATGATGCCAGGAAGCCCCTGGGTGCTCGCTTTCCTTTAAGGGGTTAAATCGCTCTCAAATGGTTTAACCCCAAAGGCTTCCTCCAGCTCCAGGTCGCTCAGTGGTATTTGGCTTCTGAAACAGAGTGTCAGGAAGTGCAGATTGACGTCAGGCATGGGTGCCGCTGATTGGCTAGAGTGGACAGTTGACGCTCTAAGCCAATCGCTAGTTCCCGGTTCATAAAATATTTTTACTTTTTTATGAATGGGGAGCTACTGATTGGCTTAGAGTGCCAGCTGACCGCTCTAGCCAATCAGCAACACCCCTACCCAACGGCACTCTGTGCTTCCTGACACTCAGTAAATAAAAGTGAACACATTAATACTGATATTTTTTTACCTTTGGAGATGAGAAGGTCCAGCGTTTCCCTGCTTGGCCCAGGTACCAAAGCCTTATGATGTGGTGTCCAGAATAAAGTGGAGGGTTCACTTAATTTGTCCTTCCTGCTCTAATCTCCTTTTCCTCTCCTTCATTTGACAGTCTTTTTTTTTCTTCTGACACTGTTTTCTATCCTTGGCCCCTTCTGCTCTTTTACCTTTCTGCTACTTTCTGCTTATTTTGCGCCCTTCTGCTCCTTTCTCATTCTGATCCCTTTCTGCTCCTTGCAGACCCTTTCTGCTATTTCTACTTTACCTTTGTGCTCCTTGCTGTCCCTTTCTGCTCCCTTTTCTACTTTACCTTTGTGCTCCTTGCTGTCCCTTTCTGCTCCCTTTTCTACTTTACCTTTGTGCTCCTTGCTGTTCCTTTCTGCTCCCTTTTCTACTTTACCTTTGTGCTCCTTGCTGTCCCTTTCTGCTCCCTTTTCTACTTTACCTTTGTGCTCCTTGCTGTCCCTTTCTGCTCTTTCTCCTACTTTACCTTTGTGCTCCTTCTGATTCTTTCTGCTCCTTTACCTTTGTGCTCCTTGGTGTCCCTTTCTGCTCCTTGTTGTCCCTTTCTGCTCCTTGCTGCCCCTTCCTGCTCATTCTCCTACTTTACCTTTGTGCTCCTTCTGCCCCTTCCAGCTCATTTCTGACCCTTTCTGCTCCTTCTACTTTACCTTTGTGCTGCTTTAACTTCCAGCTCCTTGCTGACCCTTCCTGTTCATTTCTGTTCCTTTGTGCTCCTTCTCCTATTTTACCTTTTGTGCTCCTTGCTGTCCCTTCCAGCTCCTTGCTGCCCCTTTCTGCTCCTTGATGTCCCTTCCTGCTAATTTCTGTTCCTTCTCCTTTTCTTACCTTACCTTCCTGCTCCTTGCTGACTCTTCATGTAGGCTGTCTCCCCCATTCCTCACTTCTATAGGTGTGCGCACGGGGTGTGTCGGGTGTGCCTGGGCACACCCTAATCCCCGCGGCACGCCAATGGATTGAGACCGGCAGGGGAGATCTCTGGATCTCCCCGGTCGGCTCATGCAGAGCCGACGCTATCCGAGCGGCGGCTCTGGTCTAAGCCTCCATGGGCCGGTGGGGAGATCAAAGTTCTACCTCACCGGTCCACAGCAGCATGGAGGGAGGCAGCAGAGAACCCGGGCTAGAGTTCACTCTCCACTGAACCACCAGGGAAGGCAGCAGGACTGGGATATTAACTAGTCTGCCCCCACCTCCACCCAAACATACAGCACACACAGCCCACAAACAGCACCCCCCCACACACACACAGCACCTACACACATACATCACCCTCGCACACACAGCACCCACACACACAACACCCACACACACCCAGCACACTAACAGCATCCTCACAAACACACAAAACCCACACACAACACCCGCACAGCACCCACACACAAACAGCACACTCTCATACAAACAGCACCCTGACAAACACACAACACCCGCACACAAACAGCACACTAACAGGACCCGAACAAACACACACACACAAAGTGCCCCCCCCTGCGGACGCCCATGCCTAGTAGTTGTAAAAAGAAGAGCGAAATAGATGGGCAAAATTTATAAATCGCAGAAAAGGCACAGATTATTCAGCAACACCGATAAATCCTGCTGATGTTCTTCCTGTCTTATTAATAAAGTTTAACAAGAAGAACCAATTGCAAATATTTTTGTATCTCTGCATCTTTCTTTGAAACACAAGCAAACCATGCATCGTATCTTGCATCAGAGTACGCACTCCGAGTAAGCCCCACTGAAGAAATAATCTCCCTGCTTCTTACAGGAATATTACATAAATGTATATCAAGTGCAATCTATATTGATGTATTGAGGTTATAGGCCTCCTCGATAGGCAAGTACTATAACTGTTTTGTCTACTATTATTCATGTCTATATTAGTATTCTTTAGGTTAATATTGTAATAGACATAAGCGAGCCTATAATATTTAACTGTTCGCAGTCTTCAGACCCTTAGATGTTAATTATCTTTATACTTTCTGTATACTTTTTGATTACAGCGTGTACCACTCAGACACGCATACCCTAGCAGACCAAGACCCGAGCATTAACGTTATAAAATTGTGCAGACCTTATCCTTGCCATGCTTGAAAATGTCAGATTATATTATGCTTGTGACTGTTGTGGCAACACAGGCACACATGTTATAACTTGCACAACAAAATTAAAGAATACAAAAAAAAAACCCTCCTCAAACAGGTTTAAATTTGCCAAACTTCTAAATATACAACATGGCTGCCTTGTTGCGTCATACTATAGATTGGATAACCACTTGTGATAACTTCACAGACAGTGTCATTGACACCTTTCTGCTTCATCCTTAGATTGCTCCAGCACTCCTAGATATGCTATAATTTACTATTCCCATGTTTTACCATTTAGATCTGGATTTTAGCCCACTGATGAATCTTATTAATAATGTCCAGATTTTGCATTCCGAATGCATCCGTAAGGAACCATTTGGGATATTATGACTTTTTTAATAACCATGATTGTTTCTTTTTCCCTCATAATTTTGTAATGCCTGGGTTTGCCTTGGCTGAACTGGATTGCGAGGTTGCTAAATCTTTAACATGAAATGAAATAAAAAGAAAATAGAGCATCTCATTGAAAAAAAAAAACGATAGGTGATTTTCAATATTTTAATCAGTTGTGTAATGAGAAGCAACAATACCCTTTTCAACCATAACATAATTTTACTTTAATTTATGACAATTGCTGTGAACTCACATTTGGCATCCATGTCATTCTCAATCTTCTTCAGTTGCATTTTATATTCATTCTCCTTGCTTTTGATTACAGACATTAAAGAGTCAATCTCTATGGTATGCTCCTACAAAAAAATAATAATACAAAAAAAAATAAAAAAATAAATATATATATATATATATATAAGCTAAAATGCCTGTTTTTCTGCCAAGGCATGCATTAATCATCATAGCACTTGAAACATGCAAGCCCCAGCGGAATTATAAACAAAGAGATTAACCATTTGGGAACAGGTGTATATTAAAAACTTTGGGGATATTCACTAAACCCCAAATATGGCTATGAATTGTAAATGTTACAGGAAAATCAGAGTTTGACCCACAATTCCAATCCAATAAAGGTTTCAATGACAGCAGTTAACATTTAGAGCAATTCTAAATGTTAATAGTACTGAGAAAGTTTTAAATGCTGTAAAATACCCAGTGATTCAGACATTTGTGATACTGTAAAATTACCCTTGTTGAAGGTGAACATTCAGATTAATGGTAAATAATTTTTTCGTCCTTGCAGTTAATGGCAGAATATGCTAACTCTGGGTGCTTTCTGTGCAAGAAACCATTGCGGGTCATTATATACTTATTGCCAGGGCCAGACTGGGAAGAAAATTCGGCCCGGGGCCAGATAGGGTGTGTTTTGTCATAACCAATGACAAGCACGCCCTATCGCAAAGTGAACATGTTGGTTCAATGCTCTTCCAGGGCAGCCCATGCACAGAGCTCTGCTGAAGAGCTCTAGCATGAGAAAAAAGCCATGTATTTGTTCCGCACAACGCAAACAAATTTAATAACATGCTTGCACTTTGTTTGCTTAAAATTTGTCTCTGGTGTCTCCATAGATGGGACACCAGGAGACAAAAATGCCAGGAAAGAGTATTGTGCAGTGTGCATGTGTGAGGGTGCAGTGTGTGTGTGTGTGTGAGGGTGTAGTGTGTGTGCAAGAGGGGTTCAGTATGTGTGTGAGGGTGCTGTGTGGGTAAGGGTGCTGTGTGTATGAGGGGTGCAGTGTGTGTGTGTGCTGTGTGTGAGTGATGGGTGCAGTGTGTGTGTGATGGTGCTGTGTTTGATTGAGGGTGCTATATGCGTGTGAGGAAGCTGTGTGTGTGAGTGTGAGTGAGGGTGCTTTGAGAGTCAGGGGTGCAGTGTGTGTGTGTGTGAGTGAGAGTGCTGTAAGTGTCAGGGGTGCAGTGTGTGTGTGTGTGTGAGTGAGGGTTCTGAGAGTGTCAGGGGTGCAGTGTGTGTGTGTGTGTGTGTGAGTGAGGGTGCTGTGAATGTCAGGGGTGCAGTGTGTGTGTGTGAATGAGGGTGCTGTAAGTGTCAGGGGTGCAGTGTGTGTGTGTGAGTGGGGTGCTGTGCGTGTGTGTGAGTGAAGGTGCTGTGAGTGTCAGGGGTGCAATGTGCACGTGTGTGAGGGTGCTGTGAATGTCTGGGGTGCTGTGTGTGTGAGTGAGGGTGTTGTGAGTGTCAGGAGTGCAGTGTGTGTGTGTGAGGGTGCTGGGGTGCAGTGTGTGTGTGTGTGAGTGAGATTGCAGTGTGTGTGAGGGGTGCAGTGTGTGTGTGTGTGTGTGTGTGTGAGAGGGTCCTGTGAGTGTCTAGACCGATCTCGCGAGAGGAACCCGACGGAGCTGCAAGATAGAGCTCCTCCGGGTTCCTCTCCAGTCCCCCTCCCCAGTCGGCGGCCGCATCACACTGCATGTGGGCCGGTGCGGGAGATCTTAGATCTCTCCACTGGCCTGTCATGGAAAACAGTGGGGCTGGCGCTCAGATAGTGCTGGCCCTACATGGACCAGCCCGATGGTAATTCCGGGACTGCTTAGTACTACTTTTTATTTTAAAAGATTCAAACACAAGTCAAAAAGCAGGTTGTCAACACTGGAAGCCAAAAAAACCTAACAACATATGTATGTTCATGATATTACAAAGTAGATTAAAAAGTAAACATTTATTTACTAAAAAGTTATTTACTAAACGCAGAATTTTGTCCAGATGGACACAATTTGGTGAAAATTACCAGATTCTGTAGAGATTTGCAATACTTCCTAAGGCCATATCTAGTCGAAATTCGGTCATTCCAACCAAATGAACAACAGTCAGTCTAATCCATTTGTCTGGCTTAAATTTAGTATCATTAGCATGAAAATCATTTATCAAACACCAAATAGAGAGACACAAGATTTCAAATGAAGAAAGATACATCTGGTATATCAAATGATCAAGATTTCCACCCAAACATACAGCACACACAGCCCACAAACAGCACCCACACACACACACACACACACAGCACCTACACACATACATCACCCTCGCACACACAGCACCCACACACATACAACACCCACACACACCCAGCACACTAACAGCATCCTCACAAACACACAAAACCCACACACAACACCACATACAACACCCACACACAAACAACACACTCTCATACAAATTTGCTTGGAAATTTGTCTCTGGTCCTCCATAGATAGGACACCAGGAGAACAAAAATATACCAAGGAAAGAAGTATTATTACAGTGTGCATGTGTGAGGTGCAGTGTGTGTGTGTGTGTGAGGGGTGTAGTGTGTGTGCAAGAGGAGTGCAGTGTGTGTGTTTGTGAGGGTACTGTGTGGGTGTGGGTGTGTGTGCTGTGAGTGAGGGGTGCAGTGTGTGTGTGTGAGTGTGTGCTGTGTCTGAGTGCTGGGTTTCAGTGAGGATGCTATGTGCATGTGAAGGTGCAGTGAGTGTCAGGGGTGCAGTGTGTGTGCGTGTGAGTTAGGGTGCTGTGAGTGCCAGGGGTGCAGTGTGTGTGAGTGTGTAGCGAGTGAGAGTGCTGTAAGTGTCAGGGGTGCAGTGTGTGTGTGTGTGTGAGTGAGGTTCTGAGAGTGTCAGGGGTGCAGTGTGTGTGTGTGTGTGTGTGTGAGTGAGGTGCTGTGAATGTCAGGGGTGCAGTGTGTGTGTGTGAATGAGGGTGCTGTAAGTGTCAGGGGTGCAGTGTGTGTGTGTGAGTGAGGGTGCTGTGCGTGTGTGTGTGAGTGAAGGTGCTGTGAGTGTCAGGGGTGCAATGTGTACGTGTGTGAGGGTGCTGTGAATGTCTGGGGTGCTGTGTGTGTGAGTGAGGGTGTTGTGAGTGTCAGGAGTGCAGTGTGTGTGTGTGAGGGTGCTGGGGTGCAGTGTGTGTGTGTGTGAGTGAGATTGCAGTGTGTGTGAGGGGTGCAGTGTGTGTGTGTGTGTGTGTGTGTGAGAGGGTCCTGTGAGTGTCTAGACCGATCTCGCGAGAGCAACCCGACGGAGCTGCAAGATAGAGCTCCTCCGGGTTCCTCTCCAGTCCCCCTCCCCAGCCGGCGGCCGCATCACACTGCATGTGGGCCGGTGCGGGAGATCTTAGATCTCTCCACTGGCCTGTCATGGAAAACAGTGGGGCTGGCGCTCAGATAGTGCTGGCCCTACATGGACCAGCCCGATGGTAATTCCGGGACTGCTTAGTACTACTTTTTATTTTAAAAGATTCAAACACAAGTCAAAAAGCAGGTTGTCAACACTGGAAGCCAAAAAAACCTAACAACATATGTATGTTCATGATATTACAAAGTAGATTAAAAAGTAAACATTTATTTACTAAAAAGTTATTTACTAAACGCAGAATTTTGTCCAGATGGACACAATTTGGTGAAAATTACCAGATTCTGTAGAGATTTGCAATACTTCCTAAGGCCATATCTAGTCGAAATTCGGTCATTCCAACCAAATGAACAACAGTCAGTCTAATCCATTTGTCTGGCTTAAATTTAGTATCATTAGCATGAAAATCATTTATCAAACACCAAATAGAGAGACACAAGATTTCAAATGAAGAAAGATACATCTGGTATATCAAATGATCAAGATTTCAAATAAAGACAGATACATCTGGTAAATCAAATTATTAAATTAAATTTATTGAAATCTGGACTTCAGAGGACACATAGGTTAAAATAAAAACCTTGTCAGTGTGAGGGTTAAGTTTGTGGTGGCTGGCCAGCAATTGCTAACAAGCTACCACAGTAAAACATTTAAAAATGCATATAATTATAGGAAGATTCACACTTGATATGGTGCAAGTGGGGGCCGAGCTATTAAACGTTGAGCGGCCCGCATCTGTTCAAAATTATTTCTCTGGGCAACTGGCCCCCACTACCAATGTGCATGTGGTGAGAGCCTAAATAAAATTGAAGTAGGGACACTCAAGTGTCTTTAGCCAATCATGGGCTGCGGGTGGGGGTAGGGTTGCCACCAGGCCGGTATTTTACCAGCACAGCCGGTATTTGAGTCTGCCTATTGCACTAATACCGGCAAAGAAATGCTGGTATTTTTTTCAGTAGGTGGCTCTGTATCTAAGAGAGACAGGGATAGGAAGTTACAGCATCTCCTTCCCTGCCTCTCTTTACTCACTGATCCGCGGGGGAGCAGCTCTATCCCGAGAGTCCAGACAACAGCTCAGGTAAGTGAGGGATGGGGAGAGACAAATTGGAGGACAGTCTATAACAGGTAACACAGGGGGCACAAAGAGGGATCCTGGGAGACACACAGAGACATGGGGACAATGGGGCACCATGGGAGACAGGGGGAACCCTGAGAGACATGGAAACACAGGGGTCCTGGGAAACACATAGACATGGAGATACTGAGGGATCCTGAAAGACACAGAGAGGCATGGGGACACTGGGGCACGTAGAGACATAGTGGAACTGGGGATCCTGGGAGACATACAAATGGGGACACTGAGACACTAGGGGACACTGGGAGACATGGGGACACTAGGGGGCATAGAGACATCCGGACACAGACACTGGGAGACATGGGGACACGGTGGCACACAGATATAAGGACACTAGGGGATCCTGGGAGATATGGGGACACAGAGACATGGGGACATCAAGACACTAGGGGACACTGAGACACTGTGAGACATGGGGACACCAGGAGACATGGGGACACGAGGAGAGACATGGGGGCATTGGGGTACACAGATACCTGGGGACACTGGGAAACATGGTGACACTGATACACTATAGGGAGACATGAGGACTAATAAACCAGCAGTTCCCAAACTGTGTGCCGCGGCGCCCTGGGGTGCCGCTATGTGCACACAGGGGTGACGCAGAATGTTTCCCCGATGCTATGATTATAGCAACGGGAAACATTAATGCTCAGGAGGGACCAGGTTGAGTGCCATGGTCCTTAAGACTGAGACCAGACCCCCGTAATGTCGGCCGACTGGGAGGAAGTGACACATCTGTGTGTGTATATATATGTCAGTGTGCTTCTGTGTCTGTGTGTGCGCACACATCTGTGTATGTGCCTTTGTGTGTCAGGGTGTGTGTTTTTATGTCAGTGTGTGTATCTGTGTAATGGTGTGGGCATGTATCAATGTTTGTGTGTGTCGGGTGCATGTGTGTGTATGTCGTGCCTATATGAATTTGTGTGTATGTGTCAGTATATGTATATGCATCTGTGTGTTAATGTGCATGAATATCTGTGTAAGTATGTATGTATGTATGTATGTATGTGGTAGTGTATGTGCATACATCCAATCAGTCAAAAACCAGCACAACATACAAGCACATAAATATTACATACAAACACACCCCTGCATTTAAACTCAAAAAAATATATATACAAACACACACCTTCACTCAAACACAAATACTTCACACAAATGTACATTCATTTTTAAAAGTGAACATTACATACAAACACACCCCTGTATTAAAACACAATAACTATATACAAGCACCCCTTCAAACACCAACACTGTACATTACACTATAGCGCCAGTAAATGCCGCAGCGCTGTACAGATATGCAACCTAGAAATTTTGACTTGGGGTGCCTTAGAAAAATACTGAAATATTAAGGGCGCCTTGAACCTAAAAAGTTTGGGAACCACTCATTTAAACCCTCGTAGGACTCGTTTCTAGTTTGAAGGCTAAACCCCCAGGTGATGGGATCCTAAAACACCTGCCCCTTTAAAGCCAAGAATTTATCATTTTTGTAATCCATTCCCAATTGGTTCAACCTTCCTATTTATTGGAACTTTAGAAATATTACAGCAAGTTAGACAAGTTCTTTTTCATTTAAAGTTTTATAACTAAATGCAGAATTGTACACTGAATGTACAATCCCATCTGCTACCAAAAGGCTGCAAGTATAAAACAGGTCTCACAAGACAGAGAGATTACATTGTGGCATTGTGTTACAAAATTGTCTTTTATTGTCTAGCTCCTCATCTAAGAATAATTTTAACATACTGTGATAAAATTTCCCATACCTTCTTTGTCAGGTAACAACCTCTCATTAAACCTGACAAACCGTTCAGTTTTTAAGGTTGGAGTAACATAAGTGGTCTCTGACAAAGTACAGATGATGAATATGATATAGTTCTTTTCGTAAGATAATATACAACACATCCATTTAGTTACAATTCTAAACCGAGTATTAGAATTCTACAAACACTTTGAAATCATGAAGACATTGGAAAAAAAAGACATAACAAGAAGCAAAAACAAAAAAGTGGGGAATAGATTCCTGTAGAAACCTTGCAAGTTAAATGTGCAGAGACAGAGCAATTTAAAATATCAATTAATTTTAGGAAGACGCAAACAGAATACATGTAATATGGCTACAACATGAGTGTGAAGGTAAAAAGGCAGAGTACAAGATGACAAAATATTTTACAGCTGGAATCACTTCCAATTGTAAGAAAACTTTATAATCTAAAAATCGAGATTAAAGTGACAATGTCACGTCAAACTTGTCTTTCCACTATTATTTTCTCTTCTTTTCCTCTTTCACAATCTGTTCTTCCTTTCTTCTTTCTGATCTAATTTTCTTTAAAACATAACACAAAGTATGGACTACTTTGTCTTATACATTTTTTCTACGCTTGATAATCTTGACAAAGGGTGGCGTTTAAGGAATAAGGAAAGCTCTACTGCCTTTGTCAAGATAGTAGAACTTGCCTTAAACTCCACTCATTGTCAGAGTTTTAAGCATAGAAAAAAACACATAAGAGAAATAGATAAAAATGAAGAAAAAAAAGAATTGATTCAAACCATTTTAAATTGTTCACTTTCTATGATATCAAATAGATTTCCCAACAGTATCTTTTTTCTTCTTAGATACGCATTTGACAGCAACAGGGAAAGCAGTTCAGAAGGAGATAACCTAAGTGAACGATGCAAATGAGCAAAGATGGTGAGAAGGGGAGTGCAAGGGCAAAAACAGAGCTACAGTGTAGAAGAAGTATGAGGAGTAACAGGGAGATTACAGAGCACTAGTTTGAAGGTTAGATTGGGGGTAATGAGAGTTTAGTGGTGAGTGCTGGGGTGAGTGGATGGTGAATGAATGGTGCATGAAAAAGGAGAATGGAGGGTAGGTTCTAATGTGCACTGGTAAAATGACTACACTGAACTGAATTAAGACATAATAGCACTTTGTACAAAGAAACGTGATTTATAAATGTTTAAGTTTATAACCCTGAACCTAATTCATAGGAAAACACTTTCATAACCAATATTTAGTGCCATGTCAACTCGCTCTGATGATTTGTTAATAAAGTTGATACAATCACAATCCCGCCAATCCAATACTTCATATAGACTGTTCGACACTTCATAGATCAGTATCTGATTGGCGATTAAAGGACCTTAACCTTATGTTAAGAGCTCAAGTCTCAGCTATAACAATCTTGTCTAATAGGAGTTAGCAACACTTTAACAGGACCATCAAAAACTTATAGCACGTTTCAAATGTTGTTGCTCTTTCTTACAGTTTTTTCCTTTAAAGAGTAGTGGTTGATTTAAAACTACATCAAGTTGCAGTAGTTATGTTGCTTAGAAAAGCAAGTTCAACCTTTTTCAAAAATGTCTGAGACTAAACTGTCTTCAGTTAACACAATCTTTGTTTAAGCCCAGTTTTAACACAACATTCTCTGACTTTAGAAGAGTTACTGGCAGAAAAAAAGGTTTGCTAAATTTCAATTCTAATCAGGTCAGAAATGAAAAAAATAAATGGTAAATGGTATGGATTGGTTGCCAAGGCTAGATTTAAAACGAAGGTTCAATAACTAAGTTTCCAAACTGTATGGTAGAGACAGACATAATTTGATAAATAATGAATATTGCCAAAGGCTTGTTACTTGGTAACACATGATATCTCAAGCAAATGAGATTTTAAATGATGGCAAGTTTTAAAGTTTTTAAATGATGGCAAGGGCTATTTCATTGGGCTATACAAGTGAAGTTTATACTAAATTACTTTATTTATATGGAGCTGTCTACATACTCAAATACTGATGATTAAACTGAAAATGTAGTTTAGTTGAGAACATGTACAAATGCTAAATAACCCTGGAAGCTGCTGATGCATTGTCTTTATCTAACTTTTGGTAAGTAAATGAGCCTTGAGAATGCATAGTTCCCATCAATTCAGATGGACAAAGAGGGAAAATCGCTTTCTAGGGAGAGTAACTTGGAACATGACTAATGGGCCGGCTGAGCATTCAGTGAATGTGTTAAAGAGTTTGTAATATATTTTTATGCCACAGAAAAATAATTTTGCATTTTTGCTGTGGAGTGCTGTAATAAATTAACTGACATAAAACATAATGTTTGGAAATATTGTAATTATGTATATTTAATAATACCTCTGTGCCTGAACATTTGATTTTCTCTAGACATGGATAGTGAGCAGCCCTTTGCTTATGAACATAGCACAAAGTAACACTCATTGAAAATAGATACATTCCACATCAGACAGCTAAAGTTTGATCATTAGCAGTTATATGAAACATTTCATTTAATAGATCAGTGGAGCTGAACTATGACATATTGACTTTGGTTTATCTTAGTTCTAACATTAGGGGGCACTCTCGCACTCATTTTACTCCAAACAGTACTGTATTTTTTTAAAATAATTTTTACGTAAGATGTTTAGGAATAATGCCTTTGCCCTTTTGAGAATCAGATTTTACCATTTAACATTTGAATTAGTACAATTCATACAATTGTAGTAGCGTGTGATGTTATTGGAGGATGTTTCAAATCTCAATTGTTATTTTTTTTCTTGCAAATGTCCCTACTCTTCTAAAAATATTTTTGAATGATTCCAGCAGATATTCTCAATTGAAGGGGAGTCAATAGGCAAAGCATTGTGTTGCTCCATAATTCTTTAAAGGAACTTGCCTACATGATTTCTATATCCATGGATTTCTGAACCCACATAGGGGTTTATTTACAAAACACTGAATTGTAGAATTGAAAACCACATTGCAAAGCTTAGGCCAACATAAAAGTTGAAAAATGTCCCCAACTCCATTACATTCACAGATATTTGATCTATTTTTGTGATTCAGTTTGCAATTCTCTACACTGTACAATATGGTGTATAGTGAATATACATTGTTGTGTATATATATATATATATATATATATATATATATTTTTTTTTTTATTATTATTATTTTTTCCTTTACAAAACACATTTCACAATAGACAGGGGAAAAAAACATAACTTTATTACTATAACTAAGTTTTTACTATTTTATTTACTAATTGTTCCCTGGAATTTGTAAACAGTATTTCAAAAAATTATAAAACAGTTGTGATATGTTTATCCAGTTACGTTTATTAATATTTAGACTTTTAGTGTATTCTTTGATTAAATAATTTGGTAAAATTGGTTGAATAACAGTGAGTTGTGATGATTTAGACATTTTGGCGAATACAATATTAACATTTTCACCTGTGCAGCGTCTTGTAGCTTCTTCTCTAAAGTACTTAGGTTTTCTCTAAGACTGGAATTTTCATCTAAATAGAAGTAAAGAGCCATTGCTATGGTTATTCTATATTATCACATTATTTGAGAGGTTAATATGCCACAAATGTGGTAGTCAAGTTACCAGCTAGTGTACCAATTCATTTAATTTCCCATTTATATCTCTACTATATCTATACTGCTGTCTATAGCACTATATCTATAAATATGGATAACTATTTCTAAATATATAGTCCTATTCCCAAACTAGGAAGGCTACTTCAGTTAAAAATACAATATCATTTAGTTAATAAATGTGTTAGAGTACTTTGCCCATCAGAGCAAGAGCTCTGTTCTCACTATCCTGCACACACATACAATCAATCTTGATTTGATTAGTTAATGTTGATGTAATTATTTGCTGCTCAGTGGATTGTAGTGAGTGTCATGATATAAAAATGGGAACTTGAGCAGAGTCATAGATCCATGTAACTTTGCTATACGGCTTTGCACTCCTCTGGCAATCAATGGATTAAAAGGGTAGGGATATTGTATACTAGTATCATATCTTACACTGCTCAACAGGCAAAACAATTGGCTATTTAAAGGGACACTATATTCACCAGAACAATTACAGCCTAATGTAGTTGTTCTGGTGTGTAGCGGATGGCACTGGGCTGTCCTGCAAATGTCTTGTGAATAACTGCATTCGTGTGATCTGATAGTTTTATATGTGTTTAAAAGAATTGTATTCCTCTGATTGTTCGGTAGAATCATTCAAATAAACTAAGGGAATGAAACTACCGAACAATCAGACCTCCCCTGTGTTAAGTGTGTCCTCAATTACCCGTTGCAACATTGTTGCGAACGGGTAATTGACAAGTTAAGTAGCCGTCCTTTGTTCTCGGGGGTGGCCGCCATTCGACAAACGAACACGTGGCGGCGGCCATTTTAAAACTCCCGAACAGCGGTGTTTTGCCGTCGAGTGTCTGGAACTCAAATCGGACACTCGACTAGGCGAACACCGCTGAAACCTCCACAAGCCCGGTCCGTTCGGTTCCAAACTACCGAACGGCCCCTCGTTCGGTAGATAGAAAGAACCGAACGAGGGGATTCAGGCGAACCCTCCCTAGCCTCTATAGCTAGAGGCTTTCGTGCAGTTTGTTCCCTTATTCCAGGACCGACCGCAGGGCCCATTCGCATGGAACCGCATTCGGCTATTTCAGTCAGTGCGGTCGGTCATTTTATTCCCTCCATAAATTTCCCGAACCCCTGGTCTGATCTGGGTGATTTTTGGATATGTTGTTCACCCAGATCAGGGCTATCAGGGGATGTAGGATTTAAAGGGGTACCCCTACGTTTAGGGGTACATCCAGAAACGGGGGGAATTGCTAGACTGGATAAGAGGATTATGATGCTGGCTGAGGGAGGAGATGTGTGGGAGGTTACCAGGACAGGATTGGCTACTGTACTAATGATTGTAAATCCCTCCCTTGCATGGGAGCATGCTTTAAAAGGACACTGTGGATTAAAAGATTTCAGTTCTGCTCCTGAAACTGTGTGTCGTCCAGTTATTGGGATTGCTGTGGGATATTGCTGTTATTTTACCTGCTGGAAACCTTGCCTGTGGATTTACTATTTACTTGTTCCTGAGCCTCACTTGGATTATAAGCGGAGATAACCTGGGGAATATTGCATCTCCGTTACATGGTGTCTATAGCCAGTCCCTCCAGGTTATTTACTGTAAACACTGCCTTTTCAGAGAAAAGGCAGTGTTTATATTGGTGCCAAGGACACCTCCAGTGACAGTCACTCAGACGGTAATTAGGGTCAGTGCTGCATGGAGAAGCTAAACTTCCCCCACAGAGATGCATTGGATTGGCTGAGATCATTAATTTTGCTGATAACAATCAAGGAGGTGGGATGGGGGAAGGGCCAGCATTGTGAAACACGAGTGGCACAGGAATATAGGTACATTTTGTGCATGTTTGTATTCCTGACCCTATAGTGTTCCTTTAAGGGGTCAACATCCTAACTAACTAATGCATGGGTAAAGTGGCACGCTTTATTCCTCCTCATGGTCTAGCATGAGAGTATATAGTCTTTGAAACAAAATTAAGAGTTGAGATAATTCGTTTGTGGCCTCTTCTAGATTGGAACATGTGGGTATTTAATACAGGGTTTCCAGAATACACTTATACCATAATTAATCAGGTTTACTAGCATATTGATAATTAAGATACTAACGTATTCCCAAAAATATCCTTATTTTACATAGACAGTTAGGAGAGCCACTGGAGGTTTTTATTCTCTCTTTTTACATCTAATATATGAATTTCTGTATGTATATTTATTTATTTATAAAATATTTTACCAGGAGAGATACATTGAGATTTCTCTCGTTTTCAAGTAGGTCCTTCAAAAAATTGAATCTTGAATCCTTTCTAAATGACATCAAGAACCTCCCATGGCACAGATTACACAGATACAGTGAAGAGGTCACTCTTTGTGCATTGTCTATGATAGTAAATGACCACGAGCCTAAAAAGCACACATTTATTTTTAATATAGGAAGCTAGATAAGTCTTCATTTTATTAAATATATTCAGCTGGTAAGTACTTTGTCTCCACATATTGAAAATCTTATTATATGTGATTATATCAAAAGGCTCCTTTGTTAATTGCAGATAATTCTAAAGGTGTACTGTGTCCCATTAAATTTGTAAGTATGGCCTAAAGGAGAGATTAAAGGGACACTCCAGGCACCCAGACCACTTCTGCCCATTGGAGTGGTCTGGGTGCCAACTCCCATCACCCGTAACCCTGCAAGTGTAATTTTTGCAGTTTTTATAAACTGCAATAACTACCTTGCAGGGTTAAGTCCTCCTCTAGTGGCTGTCTGTTAGACAGCCACTAGAGGGACCTCCGGCGTTGTCAGAAACACCATAGGAAAGCATTGAACCCCATAGGAAAGATTTTAACCCCTTCAGCAACATGGGATTTGTTTTCCTGGCACTGGAGAGTCCCTTTAAGAAAGAAACCTGACATTTCATTATTTCCAAACTCTCCCTGCCATCTAAAAGCTGCAAAAAAAGGCCATGCTGTTTTTTTAAGTAACAGTCCAGACACTTTGCCTGTGAGATATCACTGCAGATGTAGATTGCAAAACTTCACTATGCTTTCCCTGCAGGTGCTGGAAAACGGTATAATACATTAGAAGCTGATTCCGGGGTATTGTTGGCAAAAGGGATAAAGAGAGACTGACAGGGGTTGGAGCCCCAAGTGGGATTCCCAGATCTTATTGTGGCACAATTTTGTTGTTAGCTCTCAGTCCCATGTAATATGGAGAGGGAAAGAAGTAATACAATGTGTTACAGTGACACTTTAATGTACCATATATGTAGGTACAGCACAGAATGGGGTATTGCTGTAGGTGCAGGGTTTACTTCAGAGGGGATAAAAACAAGGGGTGTGGAGTTTATAAAAATAGGTTTGTGTAACATTCTTAATTATTCAAAGACTTGGTATCACACTGTGATATATATAACACATTAGGGTTTAGATTGGACATGGTAAGTGACTGAGTTTAAAGGGGCCTTAAGTCGATATGAATGTGGGAAGGACCGTACGTCAAAATCATGTGTATCCACTCACTAAGCAACAGACTCAGACATTTACTCATCTATTCCAATTCATCCACCCAATCGCATACCCACTCACTCACCCATCAAGTTACATATTCAGTTCCATTAACAAATGGGGTTATGTAATAATGTGTAAATTTGAATTTCAAAAATCAGGGCAAAATAGCTGAAATTGAAAACATATCTATGTCAGCTATAATATTATTTTAGCCATTATGGCCTAAAACCTGACAAATCTCATCCCCTGGCTTGATTGTTTAGAGTTTCCTAGTTGCAACATGAAGCAGAGGTGACTACTGCAAAGACCAACTATGAAAAGTTATGAAATAGGAAGATCATTTTCATTTGCTTACCTGTTATGTTGCACCGTAATTCAATGGTTTCCTGCAAATCACGTATGACTTTCTGCAAAGCCGAGCACTCTTTAAAAAGATGGTTAGAAACAAAATAAATGTTTACATGCATGAATGCAAACGAGTTCACTGAACAATCTATTGTGATTAATTTGAAAACTCACAGGTTTATTCACTAAAGTGGAACCTTAGTTTAGAGTGAATTTTAAATTCTACACCAATGAAGGCAAAGTGGAAATAAAGCTGACTTGGAGATTGTTGTCACTTTAGCTATTTTGGTCTAAAATGTAAAATTCATTTGAATTCCTGACAATTCACAATTCAGTGAATAACCCTGTGATTGAAAAAATATAGGCCAAGATACTTGAACTTAAAGCGGCATTGTCATGGCCGAATTCGTTTGGTTTTGTTTAAGCCCCCTCCCTTCTCTACATTTGATTGTTCCCCATTTCACCTTTTTAAACTTCTTTATTTCTTGTCCAGTTCTGTGTCTAAGTGTTCCCCGGATGACGTGTACCGCATGGGCCTCATCTGTCCACACTAGCTGGCGCTGGGAAATTGGTGTGCATGCCCAGTTGCAGATTTGAGCATTCTCGAATTTTGGCTATTCGCCCATGCATCAGAAAGACTAATGAACAAATAGAAATTCTAGTAATCCCCACAATAATTAAATACCCTACCTACCCTAATAATAGTGCGGGGGGCAATAAACGAAATACCTTTAAAATAAAATATTAATCATTATAATTAGATGTCTTCTCTTTTTTCTACAATCATATTTCAGCCCCAAAAAAGGCCAAATAAAAATCAATAATGTCTTGTCAAACTATTAAAATATTAATATTAAAAATAAAAATCCTGAGTAAAAAAAATACTACATCTTCACCTGGCGAGGGCTCTGCGCAGTCTGAGCTTTGCAGGGAGGAGAAAGATTTATAAAGCCTTCCCATTCTGTGCAATTTGACTAAGAGCGCTGTGATTGCTTGGCTTAAGTCAACAATTAGAGATCTGATAGATAAATCTTGAGAAGAATATTACTTAGGGCCCCCATTCAGCAGCATATTTAATTTATTTATTT